GGTTTGGGATGTTCAGCCTGGAGGGAGCCATATCTGGGATTTTCAGAGTCTGGAGCTGTTTCCTGGTAGAGGCTCAAGCATGCAGCCTGCAGACTGGAGTTTCCCAGCACTTGAGAGCTTCAGTTTGCAATATGAGTGTTGTTCCTGATGGTGTGCAGATGTCCAGGTGTTTTCATAGCATTTTAATGGTGTTTCATTTGTCCCAGCAGATGGTACTGATGCCCATGCAGGTCCCCAGCCCTGCTGTGCCCAGATCCATCATCTCCACGAGGCTGGGAGGGAAATTGCTTTGCCCAGTAGTTTGTAAGGTCTTTACTGACAGCAGAGGAAGGGAGGCTTGGGTATCCCTGCAGGTTTCCTTGGAAAAGCCTGATGGGTTGGACACTGTCCTTACTGCCTTCATCTGCCCAGCTGCAGACTCTGTCCCAATCCCTGTGTTATTCCAATCTTTCTGACAGTACAGCATCGGTTCCCCTTTTCCCCGCTTTCTCATAGCCAATCCAGAATGTCTTTCTCTGTTCCTGTAGGGAGTCCAAAACTGCTGCATCTCCTTTCTGTGGCACAGAGATGTCTTGTTAGGGTGGTGAGTTCCCAGTGCCCTGGACATGCTGGCTGTACTGGTGCTGCACAGTGTGGACAGATTGCTGCTGAGCACCTCGTGGGACCACAGGCTGCTGCTCCCAGCAGACATGGGGCTTGGGGCTTCCTTCTTTGGTTGAGTTTCTTTTAATTTCTCTTCAATAATGGATTTTTCAGTGGTGTTGTAGTGCAGTTGGAATTGAGGAGAGCCCTCTGCTCTGTTACAGTGGTTTCAGTCATGTTCCTCAGCTGTGCTGCTGCGACCGGGGTCTATGAGGGTAGCATCCAGAGAGCGTGATTTCCTTCCCTGGCTCTCAGGAAAAAAGCAGGGCTGTGGGAATTGCTGGGTGCTACAGCAATTAACGTTTCTTAGGAAAAACTTCTTTCTGTAACTCAGTAAAGCAACTTTTAATCTGTGTCTGAAGACTGGCATGGGAAACTCATTCCTTGGCAGACATAGCAGCCCGGTGCTGCCATCGAGAGGACCAGTGTGATGGCAAGTTTCTTCACGTTCACTTTCTACTCTTTACTCATTTCAGTTCTCTTTTGGCCTTTTCTCTTGTACCTGATCCTACAAATGTGTGAGCAGGGGCAGACAAAAGAAAATTTGCTTGTCACCTTTTTGGATTGTGGTTGCGTCCTCTAAAACTGCAAAGGTGATGGGATGCAGCTTTGGTACCTGCCTGTGGATACCAGGAGGTGAGTCTGCCTTGCTGTTCTTGTTTCACTGGCGAGTGCAAACACACCCCTCGTCTTGTTGGAATAGTCAGTTGAAAACTCTCAGAAGGATTTTCCTCAGCTGATGTGAGGGAGGTCCTGCGCCTGATGTCTGTCCAGGCGGGTTGCTGATCTGGTGAGCAGGGCATATGGGACAGTCACTCCGCACAGTGTGTGCCACGTGTGGAGGCAGGTGTGACCTGGTTTGGCTTTTGAGCCTGTGCTTTTTTTGGTTTGTTGTCTTCTCTGTCCCCATTGCCTTGCCCTCCTTTGGGAGGACTTGGCAACCACGCCAGCAGCAGATTGCAGGAGGCCCAAACAACCATATGATGCCCCGTGCTCTGTAACTGCAGGTTAAGTCTACATAGAGGATGTGTGCAATTTATAGGCATGATGATGTACAGATTAGTGTTCTTGAAAGGCATTATTGTGTATTTGGAAGGGAAAGTGATGGCAGGATCCAGTGCAGATCAATATGTTTAGCAAATCAAAAACCCAGGCTGAAGCTGGGCACCTGCTATCCATTGTACTTCCATGGGATTTGGCCGTGTAACTCTCTGGGGCTGCTTTTGAACCTTCTTTCTATGATGCACAATGTCTGTGAGCCACTTGCTTCCTTCATCTCTGTTCATACAGGGATCTGCTGCTATGGTGTCAGTGGCTCGTGCTCCCTCTGCAAGATTGAGGTCCCTGCTGCACACAGCAGAGTTGTAGACCTGGAATTTGGCTTACATTCCTGGTCCTCTGGGCCATTTTGTAGTGCAAGAATTTTCTAAAGTGTAAGTTAACATTTATTCATGTTTATGAGTAGTGGCAGAGGAGCACAGAATCTGTCCAAAGTGACAGTCTAGCACTGAGTCTTCAAGAATCATCCATTATGATGAAATTCCAATCTCTAATCCTGAAAACATGTACTTGAATTGTTTTTGAGCTTGAAGTTTTCATGGCTAAGATTTTCACAGAAATTACCAGCACTTTGTAATTAAATTCTGGCAAGTTAGAATCTGGGGTTTGGGTGGGCTGGGAAATTTAAGCCTGCTCTGAGCAGGGACACCTCCCACCAGACCAGGCTGCACAAGCCCCATCCAACCTGGCCCTGAACACCTCCAGGGATGCAGCAGCCACAACCTCCCTTCTTTTGTGGGCTTGTTGGCTTTCAGACCCAGTGCAGGTTGCTCTACGGGTAAGAAGCTTTATCTTTAAAACCAGAAAGCAAAAAAGCCCAACTACATGTACTGAAAACCTAGCAAAATAGGATGGAGTGGGATTTATGTGATGAGGGCAGGCAGGGGTGTGAGCTGCCGGCGCTGCTGCCGTGGCCAGCCCTGCCCGCACTGCCGTGCCTGCCCTCTCACGGGTGCACAGCAACAGGTCAGCTCCTGCCGGTGCTGCAATCTGCTGGGACTGAGATCCAGGATGGGCCTGTGTGTGGCAGGTTGTTGGCAGCAGGTGCAGACAGGTTGTTCCTGGTTTCCAGGGGACACCAGCAGGAGCTGCCCCTGAGCCGAGCAGTGCTGTAGGGTGGGCACTTCTCTCTCCTCTCCCCTTCCTGCTGCCCAGG